TATGGGTGTTGATTTTATATTCTGCTACTTTGCTGAATTCAAGTACTAGTTCTAGAAGTTTTCTGGTGGAGCTTTTTGGGTCTTCTAGGTATAGAATCATATCGTCAGTAAATAGTGCTAGTTTAAGCTCTTCTTTTCTATACGTATCCCTTTAATTTCTTTCATCTGTCTAATTGTTCTGGCCAGTGTTTCAAGAACTGTTAAATTGAAGTGGTGAAAGAAGGCATCTCTATCTTGTTCCAATTTTTAGAGGGAATACCTTCAATTTTTCTCCATTTAGAATGATGTTAGCCTGGGGTGTAGTGTAGATAGCCTTTATGATGTTGAAATACGTTTCTGTTATCCCTGGTTTTTCTAGTGTTTTGAACATGAAGAGGTGCTGTATTTTGTCAGATGGTTTTCTTGCGTCTATTGAGATGATCATATGATTCTTATCTTGGAGTCTATTGATTCTTATCTTGGAGTCTATTGATTTCCATATGTTGAACCAACTTTGCATCTGTAGCATGAATCCCACTTGATCATGGTGCACTATCTTTTTGACATGTTTTTGTATTCAATTTGTCAGAATTTTATTGAGAATTTTTTGCATCTATGTTCATTAGAGATATTGATCTGAAGTTTCTTTCTTTGGTGTGTCTTTGCCTGATTTTGGAATCAGGGTGATAGTGGCCTCAAAGAATGAGTTTGGAAATGCTCCCTCTTTTTCTATTTCCTGAAGTAAATTGAAGACTATTGGCATTAGTTCTTCTTTAAAGGTCTTGTAGAACTCAGTTGTATATCCATTCGGTCCTGGGCTTTTCTTGGTTGGTTGGCTTCTGATGGCATCTTCTATTTCATCACTTGATATTGGTCTGTTTAAATTGTGTATATCATCCTGATTCAATTTGGGCAAATCATATGACTTCAGAAATTTGTCAATGCCTTCAATATCTTCTATGTTTTTGGAGTATAAGTTTTCAAAATAATTTCTAATTATCTTCTATATTTCTGTATAGTCTGTTCAGTATGCTGGTATTTTGAGTTTTCTCTCTCCTTCTCTTGATTAGTTTAGCTAAAGGTCTGTCAATTTTAGTTATTTTTTCAATGAACCAACTTTTTGTTTTGTCAATTTTTTCAATTGTTTTATTTTGTTTCAATTTTATCTCTAATTTTAATTATTTCTTGCCTTCTACTATTTTCGGTGTTGATTTCTTCTCCTTTTTCTAGGGCTTTCAAATGTAATGTTAGTCATTTATATGTTGACTTTTTCTTCTTTTAAGGAATGAACTCCATGCAATGAACTTTCCTCTTAGTACTGTTTTTATAGTGTCCCAGAGATTTTGATATGTTGTGTCTATGTTCTCATTAACCTCTAAGAATTTTTTAATCTCCTCCTTGATGTCTTCTGTAACCCATTGTTCATTCAGTAGCCTATTTTTTAATCTCCAGGTGTTAGAGTAATTTTTATTTTTTATTTTGTCATTGATTTCCAATTTCATTCCATTATGATCTGATAAAATGCAGGGTAGTACCTCTACTTTTGTGTATTTTCTAAGAGTTGCTTTGTGGCATATTATATGATCTATTTTAGAGAGGATCCATGTGCTGCTGAGAAAAAAGTGTATCTGCTTGAAATATTCTATATATGTCAGTTAAGTAAAAGTTATTAATTGTACTATTGAAAACTATAGTTTCTTTATTCAACTTTTGTTTGGAAGATCTATCAAGTAGAGAGAGAGTTGAGTTAAAATCACCCAAGATGTTTGTGTTGTGGTCAATTTGACTGTTGAACTTGAGAAGAATTTGTTTGATGAACATATGTGCTCCATATTTTTATGATTGTTATGTCTTGTTGGTATATGGATCCCTTGAGCAATGTAATGTCCATATTTATCCCTTTTGATTAACTTTGGCTTGAAGTCTACTTTATTTCATACAAGGATGGAAACCCCTGCTTGCTTCCTCAGTCCACATGAGTGCTATGATTTTTCCTAGCCTTTCACCTTCAATCTGTGTATGTCTTTTCCTATCAGATGAGTCTCCTGGAGGCAGCATATTGTTGGGTCTTTTTTTTTTAATCCAATCTGCTACCTATGTCTTTTGATTAGTGAGTTTAAGCCATTAACATTCAGTTTATTATTGAGATATGGTTTGTATTCTCAGCCATACTTGTTTAATTTTGTTATTTAACTTGACTTGATTTTCTTCTGATAAGTATTTTTCCTGTAGAGTACTACCTCCCTGAGCTGATTTTCATTTTTGTTTTTCGTTTCCTCTTCATAGAATATTTTTCCAAGGATGTTCTGTAGTGCCGGTTTTCTAGCTATAAATTATTTTCACTTTTGTTTATCATGGAAGGTTTTTATTTCATTACCCAATCTAAAGCTTAATTTTGCTGGATACAGGATTCTTGGTTGGCATCCATTTTCTTTCACAGCTTGATACATGTTGTTCCAGGATCTTCTAGCTTTCACAGGCTGTGTTGAAAAATCTCCTGTTATCCTAATTGATTTTCCCCTATATGTAATAAGATTCCTTTCTCTCGTGGCTTTTAAAATTCTCTCCTTATTCTGTGTATTGGGCATTTTTATTATATTGTGCCTTGATGTGGATTTGTTGTGATTTTGTACATTTGACAAAAAGGCTTCTTGGATTTGGATTTACAATTCATTTTCATGTTTGGAATGTTTTCTGATATTATTTCATTGAATAGATTATTCATTCTTTTGGTTTGGACCTCTATGGCTTCTTCTATTCCAATAACTCTTAAATTCGGTCTTTTTATGTTATCCTATATTTCCTGAATGTTCTGCTCATGATTTCTTACCATTATCACTGTGTGGTCTACTTTCTTTTCAAGATTATATATTTTGTCTTCATTGTTTGATGTCCTATCTTCCAAGTGGCCTTCTCTGTTGGTGATGCTTTCATTTGAGCTTTTACTTTGGCTTATTATTTCTTTCATTTCAAGAATTTCTGCTTAATTTTTTTAGAACCTCTATCTCTCTTTTGAGGTGATCTTTTGCTTCTTGTATTTATATAGGTACTTGTATTTATATAGATACTTGTATTTATATAGGTACTTGTATTTATATAGGTACTTATCTTTCACTACCTTTATTTGCTCTCTTATATCTTCCTTGAGTTCACAGAATATTTAATCATGTACATCCTGAACTCCTGTAATTTCTTCTGCTGTGGCTGCCAAGGATTCTAATAATGTGGTGTCTTTATTGGTTTGGGGCACTTTCTTCCTTTGTCTTTTTATGTTGCTCCTGTGTCTTCTCTTCTAGCTCTGTGAGTTCGGGTGTTATTGGTTTTACCCTATAGGTTTCTGGTGCTCTTGTGGGGTTCCAAAACTTCTCCTTTGTGGTGAAGGACAATGTTAACAGATCCCAGTATTAACAATATACCACCTATGAACAATTTGTTGTTATTCAGACATTTAGAGTTTGGACTCAATGTACAGAATGTTGGATTCGATTATTATCTATAATATAATCAGTATTTTTGTAAAAGGGTTTACAGTTGCTGATGGTGGACAATGAACTGGGGGTGGAAAATAGGACGATATGCTGAAGAGGTGTCATGGGAGGATCTAGAGTGTATATATATATATATATATATATATATATATACTCTAGATATATATATATCTTAGGAAGTGTGAAAGAAATCTAATGAAGAGTAGCAAGAGAATAAACAGGAAGTAATTTAGGGTAGACAAGTACATGGGAAGACAATAGAGTGCATAAAACAAACACATAAGTATTTAGAAAAATAAAGGATGTTAAAATAGTAAAAATTGAAGGGGGAAAGAAAAATGAAAAAAGAAAAAAGGGCATATACAGCACCTCTATATTATATTATTCAAATAATTCGGTCCTCAAAATCCTTTTTCATGCAAAGTTCTTGGTTTCACATATGTTGGGGATGTGAGAGTGGGAGGATAGAGAAGTAGAAGAAAAAGAAAAAAAATACTCGGAGGAAGAAACCAGAATTGTTGCTAGTTTTAGAGATCCCTATTGTTCCTGCTTCTCTTCTCATACAATAGGTGGGTTGTCTGTTGTAAGCTGGTGTCTGCCTTCAGGGTTATGGAGGTAACCAGGCTGGGAAGGCTGGTCCTTGTGCAGGGTGTCTAAAAGCAGGGAGTTGCACCTGCCAGTCCCTACAAAGAGACTGCATCTCACAGTTCTCTTTTTGGGATGGCTGGTATGACTTGTGTGCCCATTATTATCTCCCTATCTTGCCTGGAAAATTCCCAGTTCCTAGTCTCTCTGTTAGCCTCTAAACTTTAGCCCCATCTCCCTCTCCCTTAGGAGTTCCCGATTGAGGGACCTCTCACACCGGGTCTCCCTTGGGTGGTGCCCTGGTCACACTGCACAAGTGTCCAACTGAGAGTTGTTTTGTGTTGGGCAGCTACTATGTTGAGTTACTGCCGCTAGGGAGAGAGGGAGTTGGAAACTAGGTAACTGGCCAGCTGTAGATCCGATCTGGGAGTTGCCCCCACCAAATATGACAAGGAGGTTATGCAAAGATGGAGGCATTCTTCTTCCAGTGCTGGGGTGTCTAGTCGAGTGGGGGAGGCTTGGAGATGGCGTTGTGCTGTGGGTAGATAGCAGCTGAGTGTCCTGCGTGGGAGCGGAGCAAAGTCTGGGAGTTCTGCAGAGGTGCTGATAGGTGATTCTGCTAAGGCGCTTGCGAGCCCTGTGCTCAAACTCTGGGAGTCCTGCACTAATGCTAACACCTGTAGCCCTGCGTGGGGTCATAGCGCTGGTGATTTCTGCTGGAGAGAAGCTGTATAGCATCCTCTAACACCTAAATAAGGTTTTAGAATGTAGATCTCTCAGAAAATAAAATGAAAAAAAAGTCCTTATAATACCAGTAAATTTTTAAATGTATAGGGATATTAGTTTGAATTAAAGCTTTCTAGAGAGCAAAACTGAGTATGTGCTTTGACTTAGCAGTCTAGTATTATAATTTACATATCCATAAGAGAAAAATGCATTGCTTTCTAGGTTTGTACTACAGAAAATGCCAGTTAATTTCCAAGGAAGACGTTACTCATGATACAAAACTTTTCTGTTTGATGCTTCCACCAAGCACTCATCTTCAGGTGCCAATTGGGCAACATGTTTACCTCAAGCTAACTATTACAGGTAAGACAAATGGAGGCTTTGGGGAAACACTTTCTTCTTTTGTAAACAGGTCAAAATAGTAAATCTATTTAGGAAGCAGTCATTTAAGTTATTGATAAATGTTTCTGGGTAGCTAGATTTCATGTTAGCCTGAAACTAGGTTTTTGGATACAGTGTTTTCTATGTATTGGAATTAGAGTGTTGCACATCATCATATGGAACAAAGAAATTGCTCCTAGTCAGAGAGATGGTTTCATCAGCATTGTCATTTATTACTAACCAAACTCTAGAAGAAAGGTGAAGGGGTACAGACTGGTCCTCCAAAAAGATTACTTCTAGAAATTCACTAGCATCTCATAGTAGGAGCTAATTATGTGTATATTACTTATGAAGTTGAATTTATAATATTCAAAACAAGTGAATGACTATAAATGATTTCCTTATGTGCACCACCAGTATAAGAAGCTCTAAAAATGTATTCTTTGCTGTGCAAATTCTTTTTCCCTCACTTTCATCCTAAAATTATCTCACTTGTTTTATATACCCTTATTGGTATTCAGTGTTTTATTGGCCTTTTGAAGCTTCAAAAGGTAAAATACTAATGTCATGTAGTGTTTCCAGCAGTCAGTCTAACAGACTATCAAACAGGATTTGGTAGATATGGAATATTATGATGGCATAAGTTTTCCTCTACATCATCACTAATCTCAGGTTACCATTCAAAAACTGGTATCTTCCTCAGGGTAGTTATTGCTAATGCATTTTAATTTGCATATAAATTAATTTTGTATATGTCAAGGAGCCATGTAGTAAATTTTGGTCATGATTCTTCTTTTTAGAATTTGGTTAGCATGAATTCTAATTTTCCTTTTTTTTAAAAAAAACTATATTTTTAGAAATAGTTGGATTAACTATTCTTTTTATTGGATTAACATTGGATTAATATTCTTCTTATTCACTTACCAAAGTAATATATAATGTTAAATTGTTTTAATCAATTTAAAATATATAAAATAAAAAGTGAAATCTTCTCTTTCTCTCCCCAAATAATTTGTCACTACTAACTATTGTTAAATATTTATGTRTAATTGAAGTTATTATGTAAATACTTTTTATATATATCCATGGAAAATATTAAGACCATTTTTATTGTGACCCATTATATGCTGACAGAATAGATGTCTAAATTTGTTAGCATATATCCTTATTAGTTTAGACCACATTTAATAAAAGCAGATTGTCTATATTATAGGTAAATAGTGATTTGTTAAAAATATTTCAGTATTTATAGGTTTCAGGTATATATAAGTATACTGCATATATGTAGAGCATATAATTAGAATTATGTGCCCATTAATTTTAAATATATACTGATAGCATTGTAAAATTTGTATGCTTCATCCTCTTTAAGAGCTTTTTCGATTTTAATTTCTGTGCTTATTTTTTTTCTAGGTACAGAAATAGTAAAGCCATATACTCCTGTGTTTGATTCCTTACTTTCAGAGTTCAAAGAACCAGTTCTTCCCAATAATAAATACATCTACTTTTTGATTAAAATCTATACTGCTGGACTCTTTACACCAGAACTTGATCATCTTCAGATTGGTTAGTAATTTTTCATTTTTGCACAAACTTCATTTGCGCTCTAGATTATATCAAATACCCTGTAGTTATCTCCATGTCCATTAAATGTCTTAAACTCAACATGCCTACAACCACAGTCATTTTCTCTTCATTCTGTATTCCACATTCCCTATATTTATTATTTGCAGCATCACTGTTCACACTTGACCCAGTCTGGTGACTTGAGTCATCCTTGAGTTTTCCTGTTTTCTCTCTCTCTGACCAGTCAGCCACTAGGTTCTATTGAGGCCACCTCCCAGTGAATTTTTAATCTTTCCTCCATATCACTTTTGCCACCCTCTAAATGCAAGCCTTCATCCCTTCTTCTTGACCTCTAACTGGTCTCTCACACTTGACTCTTAACTGGTCTTTCTCTTCTGTTTATTAAATTCTCCAATTCTTTCTCCATGTTTCCCTGAGAACAGATTTAACCATGTTGTTCTGGGATCTCAGTGCGTCCCTGTTACTTGCGTTGATTATATCTTCTGCATGACCTATACAGCCTTTGATGATGTGTCAAGTTTCATCTCTTGCTTTACAAAAAATACTTGTTCCTCTTGAAGTGCCACTTGAAGTTCCACAGGTTTGTCAGTCTCATTCACAAATACATGCAGGGGCCTCAACTAGGATAGGATGCTCATCAACCAAACCACCCACCCATCCTCCCTCTCCTTCTCCTTCTCCTTCTCCTTCCCCTTCCCTCCTTCCTGCCTCCCTCCCTCCCTCCCTCCTTTCCTTCCTTCCTTCCTTTCTTCGTTCTTTTCCCAGCGGCTCTTTACCACTGAGCTATATCCCAAGCTCTTTTATTTGATTTTTATTTTGAAATAAGGTCTTACTAAGTTGCTTAGGGTCTCACTAAGTTGTTTGACTAGCCTTGAACTTGTGATCCTTTTGCCTCAACTCCTAAATCACTGGGATTAGGCATATACCATCATGTCCAGCTTGGAGAGTTAGTCTAGAACATGGAAAAGGAAAGCCCAGAGAATAAGAGGAAGTATTATATCAGTTTCAGCCRGGGAATCTTGACCTAACACGGATACTTGTGTTGCTTAGAGATTGTATATTTGCCTGATAGTGATAATTCACCACGTGTCATTTTGGCCTAGATGAACTACTACATAACATTATTCACATCTTTTTTTTTAATCCCTCATTCATCAAACATATGATTAATTTAATCTTCAGATGCTCTTATGCTGATAACAAGATACTCTGCATGGTATATATAAATGTTCAGGTCACTGGATACCTATACTATGGCTAGGATACTAGATACCAGCTGAAATTAATTGCCATTTTGGTATATGTACTTTCTTGTGATGTTGATTAGCATCAGCTACTGCCTGAATCTGATTGATTTTGTGACATTAGAAAGATTGGAATATGGATAAATGTTATCAAGTTAATATCATCCTTTGAGGCTTCTTTAGTAAATAATCATCTGTCTTTTTACTAAAGACATTCTGAACTTATGGTCCCTTTCAAACTGTAACAAGGAGTTCCTGTTACTTTGAAACTTAATTCAAATTATTAATCATTGCAAGTTCCTTACTATCCTGCAAGGGGAAAAATGGAACCATCCAAGCATTTTAAAATAAATTCGAATGTTTTTCATTTTCAAATAAGGGACATCTTTATTTTTCATTTTTGTTACTTTGAAAATTACCAAATATAGTCCTGATGGCAGTTTTCTTACATGAGTGGAACATGGTGGTCCTACTAACTGTGCTGTACAAATTGGGCACTGATTTCTCAACTGTGTTGTTTCCCAGATTGGGAGGTAGCCTGCTGCAAGTATATCTGATTACTTTTCTGTATTGCTTTGTTTTCATAGGAATTAAACTCTTCTTATTTTAATCAATGGATCTTTTTAATATTTGATGGAGGAGAAATTAACACAATTACTAATATTAGATTTTAGAAAACATTTCTATTTCAATTTTCTTTGCTACTAATCATATCTCTGTGGTTAATAATCAGTATATAAATGACAAATATCTGTGCTCTACCTTGTGTTGTACAAGACAGATGTATGTAGATTCTGCTTTTGAAGTGCTTATAATTTAGTTATCAATTCTTTCTTGACATTTGTGGATAAGGACTTTGCAATAAGTTTTAAATTTTGGACTTCAGATTGGGAAATGACTGTGGGAAATAAAACCTTGTCATTAGTTTTACTCTAATGATATAATCCAGACATACTTGGAGGCCTAATTCACTCTAAAAACCCTCATCTACCTTGAACACTGATACGTAGTCTGCAGAGTAAGTAACGATACTGTTATTCATGAATGTTCCAAATTCAGCTACTTAGCCTTCTCAGTTCCCCTGTTGGGTTTTTGTTTTGTTTTGTTTTGTTTTTGTGATTTATTTTTATATTTCATTATTTAGGAGATTTTGTACCAGTAAGCAATCCTGAGGGAAATTTTAAATTATCCAAACTCCAAGAAGTAGAAGATCTTTTTTTATTGGCAGCTGGAACAGGCTTCACACCAATGGTTAAAATACTGAAATATGCTTTGATTAATGTACCCAGTCTCAGGTATGTAATTTTACCTCTATCTACTATTGTTTGTGAGGCTATTTTATTATTATAAGGTATTCTAAATTGATTATTCACTGGACCTTAATAATCTTGTTCTCATTCCTTCATTTATCGTTTCTTACTTAGACTCTTCTAATCCTATTTTTCTAATCCTATTTTCTTAATTTGATTCTTTTATCTCATTTTAGTTTTTGATATTTTTGGTTAGCTAATTGGTACGAAAAAGCTTGCACCCTAGTTCAATTAGACTTTCCCCTTGTGCATATTTTAAGTTTAATTAGTTGCATTTAATGAGTTTTTTTTTTCCTTTTAAGGAAAGTGAAATTGATGTTCTTCAATAAAACAGAGGATGATATAATTTGGAGAAGCCAATTGGAGAAATTAGCATTTGAAGATAAAAGGTATTATACTGATTGTAACTCTACTAATACCATATAGTACATGTAGGCCTTATGTCCTTTGACTGAAAATTTGAATTGACCAGAAAACCTCTTCAAAGAAAAAGTAAACTAATTAATAAATCTATAAATACAAATAATGGTAATTCTCCCTACTTACCCCCAAAGAAATACTGTCTGATAAGATCCAAATTAAGGGCTAAGAGGTGTAGCTCAGTAGTAGAGTGTTTGCTTAGCATGTGCAAGGCCATGGATTCAAATCCCAGCACCAAAAAATTAAAATATATAGTGGTGTGTGTGTGTGTGTGTGTGTACTCAGCAAGATATATACATATCTATCTCTTGAGTTGGGTTTAGTGAAAAATATTCCTGTGTAGTAGTTAATTTGTTAATTCAGGATATTCTTGTATAATGTATAATGATATTTTATATATATATATATATATATATATATATATATATATTATAATGGAGAATTATTGTGTGTGTGTGTGTGTGTGTGTGTGTGTGTGTGTGTGTGTACGTACGTACTAGGGATTAAACCCAGGGACACTTAACCACTGAGCCACATCCCTAGACCTTATATTTTTATTTTGAGACAAGATCTCACTAAATTGTTTAGGCCTCACTAGTTTGCTGAGGCTGGCTTTGAACTTGCAATTCTCCTACCTTAGCCTCCCCAGCAACTGAGATTATAGGCATGGCCCAATTGATAAAATAAATTTGATGAGAATGGATTAAGCAAAAGGAAACATGTTATAATATTTCTTAGAGCCTTTAACATGCTAATATCCATTGTGACTTTCAAAGAGTGGGATTTCTTATGCAGGTTTTAGCATTTTGTCTTCATTGTTGTTTGTTTGCATTAATTCTTATTAATAGACCGGTCACTGGTATCCTCAGTATACACCTTAGGAAATGCTGGTATAGTCAATAGGAAACAATTGATGTCAAGCTGAATCCAAAGACAGAAAGGAGAGCAAACTGAAAAGTTATTTCATTGAAAAAAAGCTTAGCATAGTCAACTGAATATAAGAAGACAATTTTTTTTTCGCTACCAGGAATTGAACCCAGGAGTGCTTAACCACAGAGCAACATCCCCATCCCTTTTTTTAAAAAAAAAAAATATTTTTAGTTGTAGATGGACACAATTCTTTGCTTCCTTCCTTCCTTCCTTCCTTCCTTTCTTTGCTGAGGATTGAACCCACTGCCTCACACGTGCAAGGCAAGCACTCTACCACCGAGCTACAGCCCCAGCTCCCCCAGCCCTTTTTAAATTTTTTATTTTTGAGGTAGGGTCTTGCCAAGTTTGCTTAGGGCCTCACTAAATTTTGGAGGTTGACTTTGAATTCCTGATCCTGCTGCCTCAGCTTCCTGAGCTGCTAGGATTATAGGCATGCACTACTGTGCCTGGAAAAGAAGATAGTTTAAATGAGGCCATATAGCACATCTTCCCTCAAAAGATGTGAGAAAGGAGATTCAGAACAAAATTTTTTTTTTTCATATTCAATCCATATTTTTATTGTGGTTACAGATTATTAGATGTCAATGTTTGTACACAAAGTCTTTTATTTAATTAAATTTAGATCTTTACATTTAGATCACAGAAGGCACTGATTCTAAGTTTTCACATCTGATAGACAAAAACTTATCACCTGGCTTTCTTTTTCTTCCATGTGGACATTACTGAGTGTTTGATTTTCCAATATTTCAGAACAGATTTTTTACCAGAATAGTGCATAGGACAAACTATCAAACTGTCTGAAGCATTTCTGAGCTATTTCTGGGCTGGGGATGTGGCTCAAGCGGTAGCGTGCTTCCCTGGCATGCGCGCTGCACTGGGTTTGATCTTCAGCACCACATAAAAATAAAATAAAGATATTATGTCCACCAAAAAACTAAAAAAATAAATATTAAAAAATTCTCTCTCCCTTTCTCTCAAAAAAGAGCTATTTCTGAGAATTTCAGCACTTAATAAGTTGCACAAAATATCTAAAGTAAATATTTATGTTTATTTATGAAAACTTGGTATGAGATAGGTAAAATTCTACACCTTTTAAAAGTTAGAGTAAAATCCCTTAGATTCAATATCTGTTCCCAGGGGCTCTAGGTTCTTCTGAATATCCATAATAAGGCAATACTGTGGTGTTTTCTGGCTTTTCTCTGTTATCTCCCATCATCATCTTTTAATAGGTGACATTTAATAGCTGACTGAACTTACTTATCCTTGGATAGTTATTGTTCTTTAGAGTGTCAATATAAGAGTATTTATTGTATTTAGGTAATTATGACAATTTAGAGAATGATTTAAAGAAATACAAATTTTGGCTTTTCGTGCTTCTTTTATACTTGGAAGTGTTTATCAAGAAGCTTAGGGATATAAATTTAGTTTTTCATTCTACTCGACTTAAACTTTTTGCTTAAGACTTCAGAAATTGCTTAGTTCTATGGGTCTGTGTCTTTACCTTCGGAATAAAATAATAGCATTTTTTCCTGTTCACTTCTATTGTGAGTTTTGGAGAAGATAACTTAAATGTTTTGGAAACTATGAAGTCCTCCCATATATATATTATGAAGGTTTCTATAAGCATGTGTGTAGTTTCTTAGGGGTTAGAAGTCCTATTTACCCAAACATTTAAAAGAATTTAAACAGGTAGGCTTTTAGTTAGTTTTTTTTTTTTTTTTAAGAGAGATAGAATTTTTTAATATTTATTTTTTTAGTTTTCGGCGGACACAACATCTTTGTTTGTATGTGGTGCTGAGGATCGAACCCGGGCCGAATGCATGCCAGGTGAGCGCGCTACCGCTTGAGCCACATCCCCAGCCCCAAGTTTTTTTT